AGAGAGAACCGAGAAACAGGTGAGACCTTGAAAATTGAATCAATTTCTTGTTATAATTCAGATCTCAGAAAAGAAACAGTGATAGGAATAATTACGCTGTGTTGACGGGGTGAATTTATGGAATCTGTTTTCATGGTGTACAAGTAAAAGTCTTGAAAGTGAGGATTGTAACACGACTATAATGATAAACTTTGATCAGTCAGCGCCCATCTTTGAAACTTTTTACAGCTTTATAGTTTCAAAGTCCACACTTTGTTGGGCAAGACTGAAATTTCAGTAGCCACTAATACATCTATTGACCCCAGTTACCTGAACACATTGTTTTGCCTTTAGTCTCAGCTGAAGAAGATTCAGAGGGAATTCCAGCAGAGACTTCAGCAGAAAGAGAAGAAGCTGCAGGAGCTGAAACAGGCTGTGGTCACTCTTAAGGTGAGTAGTGGGCAGAGATCTGCCGGAGCAGCTATTTCACAGCTCATTTAGACTCTCCTCCAGTCAGACAGTGAGGAGTCCAGTGTTGGACACTTTGGGATCCTACAAAGCCACAATGTGGACAGTCAGTCATCTAGAGTCCCAGTGAGAGAGTGATTGATAGCTGGTGTTTAAATGGAGCTCCATCTTGTGTGTCTGTGTCCTAACAGCGCTCTGCACAGGCAGCAGTGGAGGACAGTGAGAGGATCTTTACTGAGCTGATCCATTCCATTGAGAAAACGCGCTCTGAGGTAACAGAGCTGATCAGAACTCAGGAGAAGAACCAGCTGAGACAAACTGGAGAACTCCTGAAGAAACTGCAGCAGGAGATTGATGATCTAAAGAGGAGAAACACTGAGCTGGAGCAGCTTTCAGTCACAGAGGATCACATCCATTTCCTCCAGGTAACCATCACTCACCTACAGAGGAACCTGCTCCTCAGAGAGGCTCTGAAATCTTAAGGTTATTTTTGGTGTAACATGGTTTAAGAAAATGCTCGTCCTCCTTCATCTTTCTCAATTCTGTTTTTTCTCCATAGAGTTTCCAGTCTCTGAGTGTCTCTTTTGGATGTGAGGACTCCTCCAGCATCACTGTCCATCAACATCCCTCATTTGATGGAGTGAGGAAATCTCTCTCTGATCTGAAAGAGAGACTAGAGGAATTCTGCAAGGAGGAGTTCAGTAAAATCTCTCCACATGGTAAGAGGAGCTTCTGCTGGGAAACAGAGGGACAGAAATCTTTACCTCAACTGGAATAACTCCATGAAATGTGAAGAATAACTGAATCCTGTGTGAAACCCAAACTGATCTGATTTAAACATGGAGACTGTGCTGTGTGTCTTTTAGCTGCTTCTGTCTTTCTGAGCGAGTGTTTGAGTTTCCTTCATTCATTCTGTTCAATCAGTGTGTTTGTGTGTCTCCACAGCTGCAGCAGTTCAGACCATCTTATCCTCAGAGCCAAAAACCAGAGAAGATTTTCTACAGTGTATGAACAACACACACACACACAAACACACACACACACACTCACACATACAGACACACACACACACTCACACACACATACACACACACACTCACACACACACACAGACACACACACACATAAATAAATATTGTATTATTTAACTATGAATATGTTTGTATATTAATGGTGGAGATTGTGTCGCCTCTAAACTGTTAAATACAGAAATGTGTGAGGAGAGAAAACGTCATTATTCACTACAGACAGTTTATGTTTATGTATATTTTTGAATAAAAACCTAAAACGTTTTTCTTTATTCATTATTTTAGATTTCTGTCGACTGACTCTGGATCCCAACACTGTACATCATAGACTCAGTCTGTCTGAGCAGAACAGAGTGGTGAAGCACAGAGGAGGAGAGCAGCGTTACTCTGACCATCCAGAGAGATTTGACTACTGGAGGCAGGTGTTGTGTAAGGAGAGTGTGAGTGGACGCTGTTACTGGGAGGTCGAGTGGAGTGATTGGGTGTTCATATCAGTGTCATATAAAGGGATCAGCAGGAAAGGACGGGGTAATGAGAGCAGGTTTGGATTCAACAATCAGTCCTGGAGTCTGGACTGTTCTGACACTCTCACTTTCTGGCACAACAGCATTAAGACTGAGCTCTCAGCTCCATCATCCTCCAGAATAGGAGTGTATGTGGATCACAGTGCAGGAACTCTGTCCTTCTACAGCGTCTCTGACACAATGACCCTCCTACACACAGTCCACACCACATTCACTCAGCCGCTCTACGCTGGGTTCTGGGTTGGTGATCCCTGGTTTGATATTGGAACTGTGAGGTTGTGTGATCTGAAATGAGTGTCTGTTGTATATGATGGATACTTTTCAGGTAGATTCATAAATGATTTACATCAAACCAATCAAATGATAATCCTTTTCTAGTTGTGATGTAATCAAACTACAAAGGGCAGAGTTGTACTGATCACCTGTGAAATGTAATCTGTATCTTAATCCAAGGAATTATTAACTAAATCTGATTACACTCTTCTTTTGGACTGTTTGTCTTCTAAACCACATGTTGTGTTCAGAGGAAATCAGCTTCAATAAGATGAATCTCATTGTGTTTGTTAATAAACAGTGTGTTGTCTGTATTAAGAGGACTTGTGTGTATTTAGAGACGCCCTTTTTATCAGGATTGTCTTTTCCTGTACGATTCTCCACAAGGGGGAGCTATTAGCACTCAAGTAAGTTTTAGCGGTAAGAAACTAATGGCTGTATACAGTCATATAAAGGGCTGGTTTGGGCTGTAGAGGTTGCTGATGATGTCACTATAAACACACTGAAGACACTTGATCACCATATTAATAACCACTGTACTGTAAAACGAATGATTGTCTATGGACGAAATGTCAACATCCCCAAAAATACAGATATAACTATAATATGCTGATGTGTTCTGAGTTTTCCTGAAACAGTATCCAATTTATGGTTTGTGGTAACACATTTAAAGTGTAAATATCCCTGTAGAATTTTTCTTTTTTGATTAATGTAACCTATAATCTGTCTATAATCTGGGTTATGTGATCCATTATTTCATTATTTGACTTTTTTAAATATCCAAAGTAAGCTGTATGAGCTCTACATTGAGTTCTTCAATGGTTAGGACCCCCATGGACCCTCACAGAGCAGTTTTGGTGGTGGATCATTCTCAGCACAGCAGTAACACTGATGTGGTGGTGGTGTGTTGGTGTGTGTTGCGCTGGTCCAAGTGGATCAGACACAGCAGTGCTGCTGGAGTTTTTAAACACTTCAGTGTCACTGCTGGACTGAGAACCAAAATATCCACCCGACAGCGTCCTGTGACCCCTGATGAAGGACTATAGGATGACCAACACAAGCTGTGCAAAAGATGAGCTATGATCTCTGATTGGACAGTGAGTCCACTCATCCCAGCTCAACACACACTAACATGCCTCTACCATGTCAGTGGACACTAAGGCTGTGGAAAAGCGGATCCAGATCTGAGACCTCTGTGATCTGGGTAGCTCTGGTGTTAGCTTTAGCGTGAGCTCAGCTGAAGGAGTGGTCAGTTTACCCCAAAGCCTCCTAATGCAACATGAAAACCTGCTGTTCCTGCTAGAAAAAGCAGTTGTGTTTTGGTTGCTGAACATTTTAAAGACAACTGAAAACATTACAATGTAAGTGTTTGTCCCGTCGGTGTACTCTGGCCTTTAGGGCGTGAGGGTGATGTTCGGTCTGTGTTCATGTTATAAAAATAAAATAAAAATTTGTGTTCTAATGGTAAGCACCAAGAAAGCAAGGAGGAAGACACAACATGGGGTGGTAATAGCTATATTATGGGCACAGAGTGAGACAAAAAGTGAGGCAGGAGTGCTTAAAACACATAAATCTTCTTCATTAATTGTGCTCTTCATCCTCGTATCACTTACATGGAGAGTTCCATAACATATTAATGACTGTGACGTTTAGATAAAGCTAAAAATTGTGAGCTTTTATGTAGCTCTGAGTAATAAAACATCTAACATTTCATGAAATTTTAATAGTTTATATATAAAAGCATGAACACTGTGACGTCAGCATAAAGTAAAACGTGGGAGACATCGCACACGTGGGCCATTGCTCTTATTAGAACAGGCAGTCAGAAGACAGCACTGCCCAATGCTAACAAACAAGCTGGGATAGCGGGGCAGTTCACCAAAAGCCACACAATTCTACTTCATGGAAGGCACAACCCCACTCTACTGACCGCACTGCCCAATACAAACTAACACAAACACCACAAACACACGTCTGAAACTGAGAAACAACAACATTAACACATTGTCTCCCCAAGCGCGGCACTTCCTGAGAGCCTCTTCGCATGGTTCCTTTGCATGGCCACGCCTCCTGCACTCCTATAGCAATGCGGCCAGTAGTCGGACACCACAATATCTACACCCTGGTAGACATAACTGACCATGGTTGGACTTCTGATTAGTGTTAATAGAGCCTCCTGTATCATTGAGAAGAAGGTTCTTTCTCTAACCATATTGTAGTAACTGTTACAACTATTGCATTTTCAGGTTGGAGTTATTGTGGAGAGATTTGATCATTATATTACTGACACACACACACACAAGGAAGATCATATTTAATCCCTTGAATGTTCCACCCACCCTTGGAGTCATGAGTCATTCAAGGGTGAGTCCGAGTCGAGTTGTGAGTCAGTCAGTAGATCAGAAGATACACACTGATTAACTCTTACAGGTTGGAGCCCATTTAATCCATTAGGCTACGTTAACGGCTCTGGTCCACAGCGCGTCACTTTCCAGAATCCCAGGAAAGAATTCTGTCTTCATTAATCTCTTTCTTTCTTCTCTCTCCTCTCTTTCTCCTTCCCTCTCTCTCTGCCCTCTCTCTCTCTGTGGCTGTGCTCCAAATAGCTACCACACCACTTACATACTGTTATTGGCCCAAATGTAGTAAGTAGTTGGCCTACACAGTGCTCAGCGTGCTATTTTGAGCACAGCCAATGACTCATTAACAAACACAGAAGCAGGAAGTCCCTCCTACTCAGTTCAGAGAAAACGAAACTGATCTCAGAGTGCGTCTCTCTCTCTCTGTCTCTCTCTCTTTCTCTCTCTCTCAGTCTGCGAGTGCAGGAAAATGGCAGAGGCCAGTATTTCAGTAGATCAGGACCAGTTCAGCTGTCCAGTCTGTCTGGATCTGCTGAAGGATCCAGTGGCTATTCACTGTGGACACAGTTTCTGTATGGTGTGTATTAATGGCTGCTGGGATCAGGAGGATCAGAGGGGGGTCTACAGCTGCCCCCAGTGCAGAGAGACCTTCACTCCGAGGCCTGTTCTACGCAGGAACAACATGCTGGCTGAAGTGTTGGAGAAAGTGAAGAAGACAGAACTCCAAGCTGCTCCTCCTGCTCACTGTTACGCTGGACCTGGAGATGTGGAGTGTGATTTCTGCACTGGGAGAAAACTCAAAGCCGTCAAGTCCTGTTTGGTGTGTGTAGCGTCTCTCTGTGAAACTCATCTTAAACCTCATCTGGAAATTCCAGCCTTGATCAAACACAAGCTGGTCAAAGCCTCCACACGACTGCAGGAGAAGATCTGCTCTCAACATGATGAAGTGGTCAAGATCTACTGCCGTACTGACCAAAGCTGCATCTGTTATTTGTGTACAATGCATGAACACAAAGGCCACGATACAGTTGCAGCTGCAGCAGAGAGAACCAAGAAACAGGTTAGGGCTTGAAAAATGAATCAATTTCTTGTTATAATTCAGATCTCAGAAAAGAAACAGTGATAGGAATAATTACGCTGTGTTGACGGGGTGAATTTATGGAATCTGTTTTAATGGTGTACAAGTAAAAGTCTTGAAAGTGAGGATTGTAACACGACTATAATGATAAACTTTAATCAGCCAGCGCCCATCTTTGAAACTTTTTACAGCTTTATAGTTTCAAAGTCCACACTTTGTTGAGCAAGACTGAAATTTCAGTAGCCACTAATACATCCATTGACCCCAGTTACCTGAATACATTGTTTTGCCTTTAGTCTGAGCTGAAGAAGATTCAGAGGAAATCCCAGCAGAGACTCCAGCAGAAAGAGAAGAAGCTGCAGGAGCTGAAACAGGCTGTGGTCACTCTTAAGGTGAGTAGTGGGCAGAGATCTGCTGGAGCAGCTGTTTCACAGCTCACTCAGACTCTCCTCCAGTCAGACAGTGAGGAGTCCAGTGTTGGACACTTAGGGATCCTACACAGCCACAATGTGGACAGTCAGTCATCTAGAGTCCCAGTGAGAGAGTGAATGATAGCTGGTGTTTAAATGGAGCTCCATCTTGTGTGTCTGTGTCCTAACAGCGCTCTGCACAGGCAGCAGTGGAGGACAGTGAGAGGATCTTTACTCAGCTGATCTGCTCCATTGAGAAAAAGCGCTCTGAGGTAACAGAGCTGATCAGAACTCAGGAGAAGAACCAGCTGAGACAAACTGAAGAACTCCTGGAGAACCTGCAGCAGGAGATTGATGATCTAAAGAGGAGAAACACTGAGCTGGAGCAGCTTTCAGTCACAGAGGATCACATCCACTTCCTCCAGGTAACAATGCTACAGAGGAACCTGCTCCTCAGAGAGGCTCTAAAATTTTAAGGTTATTTTTGGTGTAACATGATTTGAGAACATGGCGGCACGGTGGCGCAGTGGGTAGCGCTGTCGCCTCACAGCAAGAAAGGCCTGGGTTCAATTCCCGGCAGGGCGACCAGGGTCATTTCTGTGTGGAGTTTTCCTGTTCTCCCCGTGTCTGCGTGGGTTTCCTCCCACAGTCCAAAGACATGCAATCAGGCCGATTGGACGTGCTAAAATTGCCCCTAGGTATGAATGTGTATGTCTGTCTGCCCTGCGATGGACTGGCGACCTGTCCAGGGTGTATCCTGCCTTCTGCCCAATGACAGCTGGGATAGGCTCCAGCACCCCACCGCGACCCAGAAGGATAAGCGGTTTAGATGATGTATGTATGATTTGAGAACATTTAATGCTCTTGTCCTCCTTCGTCTTTCTCCATTCTGTATTATCTCTGTAGAGTTTCCAGTCTCTGAGTGTCTCTTCTGGATGTGAGGACTCCTCCAGCATAACTGTCCATCAACATCCCTCATTTGATGGAGTGAGGAAATCTCTCTCTGATCTGAAAGAGAGACTAGAGGAATTCTGCAAGGAGGAGTTCAGTAAAATCTCTCCACATGGTAAGAGGAGCTTCAGTGACAGACTAAAGAAAACCACAATACACTCACAGAGATCTTTGCTTGTTTGGAAACGAAGTGAAAATGAGCCAAATTTTTCTGAAGCTACACTAAAGAAATCATCACATGTGCACTTGCAATTTTGGACCTTAGGAACTGTTTCAGCTCCTTTAACAGTCAGAAAACACATATTTAGTCACAGAGAGGGAGAGAAAAACAGGAAGAGCATGAATGATTGAATGAGTGACCATATAGAACCAAGTGGGGAGAAGACAAGCAAACGTCAGCCTTTTAATATTGATCCGTCTGCTGAGATGCATTGAAATTTTGTTTAAATAAGGCATGTATTTAAATGAACAATCAAGCCAGAATATGCATTATAAAACACTTCATGAATCATTCAGTAATCCATTGAAACAAGTTTCACTTTTCTAGATATTCAAATGGTTATCCCACATGACTGTGGTGGTCAACGAGGCACGTTTTGTGGTCATCATGTCAGTTATAATGCTGGAGTTGTGTCTTCACACAACACATTTAATATTATTAACTGTCTCCTTCATTCGCTCTGTTAAATCAGTGTGTTTGTGTGTCTCCACAGCTGCAGCACTTCAGACCATCTTATCCTCAGAGCCAAAAACCAGAGAAGATTTTCTACAGTGTATGAACAACAAACACACACACACACACACACACACACACACACACACTAGACTCTACAACCGAACATAGTACATTTTTTCAGTATTAGTGTGTCACTACGTACCTTTATTGCAGCTTTCTTTGCTTTCAGGACACTCACTTTTAATTTTTTAAGAAATCTGCAGACACACCTCCAGCCTTAGAAGTTGGTTCCATGATGATAAACACCTTAATCTGAGCACTATTACTAAACACGACAAAAAGTGTTCCTTATGGGGCGGCACGGTGGTGCAGAGGGTAGCGCTGTTGCCTTTGCAGCAAGAAGGGTCTGGGTTCGATTCCCCGGCCGGGCAGCCAGCGTCCCTTCTGTGTGAAGTTTGCATTCTCCCTGTGTCTGTGTGGGTTTCCTCCCACAGTCCAGACACATGCAGTCAGGCCAATTGGAGATCCCAGGTTGCGCCTAGGTGTGAGTGAGTATATATGTCTGTCTGCCCTGTGATGGACTGGTGACCTGTCCAGGGTATGTCCTGCTTTCCGTCCAATGACTGGGATAGGCTCCCACGACCCAGAAGGATAAGCGGTTAAAAAGATGTGTGCGTTCCGTATGACCACTCATATAGTTTATAATGGTAAATTTCTCACAAATTCACCCAGGCTATGTGAACATATGAGCAGAACTGTAAATTTAACCCTTGACAGACAGGTAAAAATGCCCATGTCTATCTTTTAACTTGTACTTCTCTTTAAAGGGGACCTATTATGCTCAATTTTACTTCATAATTTTATTTTTCAGATCTACTAGAACAGATTTACATGCTTTAATGTTCCAAAAACACATTATTTTTCTCATACCGTACATCTGTATCCACCCTCTGTTTACAGTGCTCTGTTAGACCACCTGTGTCTTTAAGCCCCGCCTCCCGATGAGCCTAGTGTGCTTCGATTGGTCAGCTCGCCCACTCTGTTCTGATTGGTCAATGCCAGAAAGGTTTAAAGCATTAGCAGCATCCTGCTACAAGTCCTGCCCCTGCAGGCAGCTAGTAAGGACTGTGTTACGAGATGATGTCACCTTGTAACAGAGTGAAGGACTGGAATTCCGACGAGGCGTTTCAGGAAGCTGAGGAAAGTGGTTTCTGTGGGAGAGAGTTTCTCCCTCTGGTGTGGACTTTGAGCTTTATAACTTTGCAGACCGTTTACAAACACAAAAAGCTACATCACTCACTAAAGGAAAGAGAAAAACCGGAAAAGCGTAATAGATCCGTTTTAAGCATGGTCGAATCTTTTGCTCTGAATGTGGGTGCAGGTTCTTTTTGAATCAGATTCCACTTTAAAGGAATGGTTCTGCATAAAAATGTACAGATGTAGCTGATTAGTCAAGATGTCAGGGACGCGGGGAGGTGTTCTAAGTTTGGGGTTTTGAAATTTTAAGCAGTGGTGCTTGAAAGTTTGTGCACCCTTTAGAATTTTCTATATTACTGCATAAATTTGGCCTAAAAATCAGATTTTCACACAAATCTGAAAAGTAGACAAAGAGAACCAAATTAAACAAATGAAACAAAAATATTAGACTTGGTCATCGATTTATTAAGGTAAATGATCCAATATTGCATATCAGTGAGTGGCAAAAGTATGTGAACCTTTAGCATTAGCGCACAATTTGAAGGTGAAATTAGAGTCAGGTGTTTTCAATCAGTGGGATGGTGTAAGTGACCACCCTGTATAATTTAAAGAACAGGGATCTGTCACAGATTTCTGAGGACCTCAGAAGAAGAGCTGTTGATGCTCATCAGGCTGGAAAAGGTTACAAAACCATCTCTAAAGAGTTTGGACTCCAACAATTGTACCAATCCAGACTGTGTACAAATGGAGGAAATTTAAGACCATCGTTATGTTCCCCAGAAGTGGTCAACCAACAAAGGTCACACCAAGAGCAAGGCGTGTAATAGTCTGCAAGGTCACAAAGGGGCCCAGGGTAACTAAGCAACTAAAGGCCTCACAGTGGCTAATGTTAATGTTCATGAGTTCACCATCAGGAGAACACTGAACAATAATGTTGTGCATGGCAGGGTTGAAAGAAGAAAGCCACTGCTCTCCAAAAAGAACATTGCTGCCAGTACGCAGTTTGCCAAAGATCACATGGACGAGCCAGAAGGCTATGTTTGTGGACGGAGGAGACCAAAATAGATCTATTTGGTTTAAATAGGAGGTGTTATGTTTGGAAAAAGAAAAACACTGCATTCCAGCACAAATCTGTGAAACATGGTGGTGGTAGTATCATGTAGTGGAAGGACCTGAAGCAGCAGTTAATGGGATGAAACCCACCAACATATCAGAGCTGAAGCTGTTTTGTACAGAGGGGCTAAACCTCCACCAAGCCGATCTACAGGACTAATCAACAGTTACCTGAAACGTTTAGTTGCAGTTATTGCTGCACAAGAGGGTCACACCAGATACTGAAAGCAAAGGCTCACATACTTTTGCCATCACAGATATTTAATATTGGATCATTTTCCTCAATAAATAAATGACCTAGTCTAATATTTTTGACCCATTTGTTTAATTTGCTTTTCTTTATCTACTATTAGGACGTGTGAAAATCTGATGACGTTTTAGGTCAAATTTGTGCAGAAATACAGAAAATTCTCAAGGGTTGACAAACTTTAAAGCAACACTGTGTATGTGTTGTGACCGATGACATCATGCTAAATGATTTGATTTGTTTTCTTTTTTTTCGCATCCCTGATGAACACCTGGATGCAGTTTGAGCAAGTTGATTATGTATTTATCTATTTATGGAAAAGGTTTTGGGTGACTATCGACTTCTAGTATTTGTTAGCGACATTAGCTTTGTAGCACCCATTTAAAGCAAAAGAAGTACAATTAGAACAGTAAAAATATCTTGGATGAGCAACTACATTTGGAACAAGGGAAGCATTGCATACATTTGATTTTCTGCCAAACTATTCCTTTAAACCACAAAGAAGCAGTGTGTCATGTCACTGACAACACAGGAAATGTTTAAGGGTTAAATATGATATATGTTTCCCTTGATGCTCAATACAGAGCAGATAAATATGGGCTATACAAATGTAGAAGGGAACAAACACTGGGAGTTAGATTTTTTGTGAATTAAAACCTAAAATGCTTTTTCTTTTTAGATTTCTGTCGGCTGACTCTGGATCCCAACACAGTAAATCGTTATCTTGACCTGTCCCAGAACAACAGAGTGGTGAAGTACAGAAGGGGAGAACAACGTTACTCTGATCATCCAGAGAGATTTGACTCTTGTTGGCAGGTGTTGTGTAAGGAGAGTGTGAGTGGACGCTGTTACTGGGAGGTCGAGTGGGACAACGATGTAATGGGGGTGTCCATATCAGTGTCATATAAAGGGATCAGCAGGAAAGTACCAGGTAATATGTGCAAGTTTGGACACAACAATCAGTCCTGGAAGCTGCAGTGTTCTAACACTCTCTCTTTCTGGCACAACAACATTAAGACTGAGCTCTCAGCTCCATCATCTTCCAGAATAGGAGTGTATGTGGATCACAGTGCAGGAACTCTGTCCTTCTACAGCGTCTCTGACACAATGACCCTCCTACACACAGTCCACACCACATTCACTCAGCCGCTCTACGCTGGGTTCCATATTGGTGGTTGTTGTGGAGTTGGTGGAACTGTGAGGTTATGTGATCAAAATGAACATATAATGCATATGCAGTATAATCTACACTAATAAATAATTTACATTATTTGTAATACAGAGATTTCTCCAGATTCTCTGCATCTTTTAATGTTATTATGTACCGTAGATGATGAAAAGCAAAAGTTCTTTGCTACTTTATGTTGAGAAACGTTATTCTTGAATTGTTGCACTATTTGCTTGTGCAGTCTTTCACAGAGTGGTGAACCCTCCTCACCTTTACTTCTGAAAGACTCAGCCTCTCTGGGATGCTCTTTATACCCAATCACGTTACTGACCTGTTTGCAGTTAACCACCAGGTGTTTTTTTAGCATTACACAACTTTACCAGCCATTTGTTGTCCCTGTCCCAACATTTTTGGAACGTGTTGTTGGCATCAATTTCAAAATGGGCAAATATTTTTCAATAAGCAATAAAATTTCCCAATTTCCACATTTGATATGTTGTCTTTGTACTATTTTAAATCAAATATAGGTTTTAAATGATTTGCACATCTTTGCATTTTGTTTTTACTTACATTTCACACAGCATCCCAACTTTTGGAGACTGGGTTGTAAATCAAGTAGGTTTAAAGAGTTTTTCATTTTAAATCCCTGCTGTGATCGAGGAGAATTCTGAAGAAAATATCTCCAAAATGGAAACTTTACAGGAGAGAGCAAATTTATATGTCCAAATATATTAACTCAGCTAACTTCCTGAAACTAATAAATGGAACCTCAGTAGAACAGAAGGGTGTTGAAACATGAAAATAAAGCAATGTTTTGTGAGTTTTATAGTTTCATTATCGCATTTACTGCAATAGTGTTTAAGCAGTGGGTGCAAAGGGTTAATATGTGAGAAGTGTCTTTGTTTGTGATCAACACAGTCGACTACCACTTTGTTTTCATCAGAAATGAATGTAGGACACTTTGATTTGTGCTCCAAGTGAGATCTAAGTGACCATCTACAAATTACATCACAAGCAGCAATGATTGGGGTCCAAGCACAATACAAAGCCAGTATAAGCCTGTTAGCAGATACAACACAAATGATGGACAGAGGTTTTGGAATGGTGAAGCTTTTGTCTAATTGTTTAGGAGAGATCTCAAAAAAGACATCTGACAAATTTCATACACACTCACCTTTTAACTGTGGTACGGTAAATAATAGGTTTTTAGCAAATAAGTACAAATACCTGCAAAGCAGTACAATTTTGACATGACAAATTAGCACAGTTGCTGAACAGAAACAAACTGAATGATTCTACTGAAAATACTTTTTCCCTGTATTTTATTCTCAGAGCGTATCATTTTCATGTTGAAATCATTAAAATGTTCTTT